ATTATTCCTCTTCATACCACTTGTGTTCTAGTCCCCTTCTCTTGAACTCCCCCCCCCCCCACCCCGCATGGCCTATACTAGTTTCTTGCTTTCTATAGTAATTTAAACAGGTATCTAAAGAGTTAAAGTTAACATGCACATATGAGAGAAATATGTAACATTTGTCTTCTTTTTCTATTTTTGGTGAGGGTTACTTTCAGCTCTATTTATTTGTCATCAAACTTCTTTCTTTTTTAACAGCTGAATAATATTCCATTGTGTATATGTACCACCACATTTTTATTTTCCTCTCATCACTTGATGGACCTTGAGGCTGTTTCCATTTGCTGGCTCTTGTGAATACAACAGCAGTGAGCACGGATAAGCAAGTATCTGTGTAGTAAGATATAGAAGCCTTTGGGTATGTGCCCAAGAATGGCCTAGCTAGAACACACAATAGGTATGGTTTTAGCTTTCCTGATGCACCTCCACACTGATTTCCAGAGTGGCTCCATGGGTTTCCACTCCAACTGCGAGTGAACAAACCTTCATTTTTCCACATACCCATTCCAGTATTTGTTTCTTTGATCTTAGCCATTTTATCTAGGACAAGATGAAATCTCAAAGTACTTTTAATTTGCATTTCCCTGATGGCTAAGGATGATGAACATTTAAAAAACAAAAAAGGTATTTCTCAGCTATTTGAATTTTATCTTTTAAGAATTCTTCTTTGTTCTGTGCCTCAAAAGTTTCAAAAGTTGGGTTGTTTGTTTTCTTGGTAATTAGGATTTTTTTTTTTTTTTAGTTCTTTGTATATTCTATGCACTAACTGTCTGTCAGATGTAGGCTTCCTCTTTGCTTGGATGGTATTATTCTTTGCTGTACAAAAGCTTTTTAGTTTCTTGTAGCTCCATTTGTCATTTGTTAGTCTTAAAGTTTGTGCTATCAGAGTCCTGTGCCTATGTTGAGGCATATTCCATACTTTCTCGTTAATGAGATTTAGGTCTTATATTGGGGTCCTTGGTCCATTTGGAGTTGAGTTTGTGCAAGGTGAGAGATAAGGATCTAGTTTCATTCTTTTCTGTGTGGCCATCCAGTTTCTGTTAGTTATAGCACCGTCTATGCTTTCTCTCTAGAGTGGTGTTTGAATGGCGATGCTGAGAGCAGACATCTTTGCTTTTCCCCCTTTAGCTTAAGGGGAAAGAATTTAGTCATTCACTGACTATAACAGTGGGTGTAGATCATGTAGAAACACCTTTGATCAAATTAAGGAATTCCCTCATGTGACAATTTGCTGTCACCACAGCAAATGCCCTGTCAGCTTACAAGGAGAAATGGATTGTTTTGGCTTATGGCTTCAGAGGTTCCAGTCTATGACCAGTCAGCTCCACCATGCCTAAAAAGGGACCAGGGTTGCACGGTGCTCTTCAGTGGCATACACTCAGCGACATGAATCTAACTAGACCCTCAACAGATCCTGTCAGGTTCCTGATGAGCCTTTAACCACATGGACTTTTGAAGGACGCTTATAAATCAAACATTGTGCCTTCTTCCCCAAGTTTGTGCCATTGACATTTTTCATAAATGCCAATTTTGGAGATGAGGGTGTCCCTTTCCTTTTTTCAGTTTGTAGTGACAGGTAATCAGTCACGCCGGCACTGGAATGCTGAGCCAGGGTTGCCGTGCTAGGACACTGTCGGCTTCATAGATTCTGTATTCAGCCTGCTCAGATCTGGTGCTGAGCTTCTTCAGTGGATTCTGTGTTGCTTGTTTTTAAATTTTTTAAGAAGTATCAGGTTTCATGTGGTCATTTTGGAACAAAAACTGTTGGGTTGATTCCCCTATTCCCTGTTCTCCCCCCATCCGCATGACCTCCCCACTTTGCACCCCTCCACTCATCCTCGTGACTCCCTTTCTGCTTTCAGGTTGTGTATGTCCCTTCTGAACACTTTCTCTCCATCCCTTCGTCTCTTTTTTTAGCTTCGGGATCTACGCCTGCACTCATCTCACATACAGATGTGTAAGCTGTGAGCTAATGTGTTAAGCCCGTAGCCACACACACACACACACACACACACACACACACACACACACCCCACACTGGCCAAAACAAACTTGAAGAGGAAAGGGTTTATTTGGCTTACACTTCTATGCCACAGTCCGGCATTGAGGGAAGTCAGCACAGGAGCTCAAGCCGGAACCTGGAGGAAGATCGGGAGCAGAGGTCGCAGAAGAACACAGCTTACTGGCCCATTCTTTCTTGCCTGCTCAGTTTGCTTTGTTATATACCCCAGGACCACCTTCCCAGGGATTTTTAGGAATATATAACTTGCTTTGCTAACAGAAGAACTGGATTTTGAACCAACGCTTGAGCAATATTCTCAGACTCCATAATGAAATCAACTCTTACTGTGATTTGGTCAGGAAGAAAACAAATTCCTAGACCCAGGAAGATATCTTAGTTGGCAAAGCACTAGCCAGGCCAACTATGAGGATGTGAATTTGATCCTGTGTAAGAAGCTGGGTATGTTAACAACTTTTCTGTTGCTGTGATAAAACACCATGACCGAAAGAAACTATGGAGAGTTTATTTTGGCTTATGGTTCCAGAGGAGTAAGAGTCCCTCACAGCAGGGAGTCCATCACAGCGGGGAGGCATGTCAATAACCAGCATCCACGGTGGCAGAAGCGGGAGGCTCGAAGTCCGCACTGTCGGACACAAGCACCAAGCACGCAGCAGAGAGTGAACTGGGAGTAGATGAGGCTGTCTGACCCCAGAGCCTACCCCTTATTCCATGCTTCCTTCAGGAATACTGCAACACCTAAATCTCCCCAAGGTGGGAGCCAACTTCAGGGAAGCTCAGGTCCAAGTGAGAGATCCTGCCTCAAAAACCAAACCGAAGCAAAAACCCAAAGCCAAACACGTGGACACATGGACACACGGACTTTCATGGACACACAGACCTGCATATAATCTCTCTCAGAAGAAGTCACTGAGCAGTCATGTGATACTAACATGACAATAAAGCACAAGGCAAGGGTGCTTACTCCTCAACTGATGGGAATGATCCCCAAACAAAGACAGGGAAATCTTGATATAATTCTTTCACATAAAGTAATTGTGATAGGAAAGAACCTCAAAAAAACAGAAACTAGAGCCTATGGTAAAAATGGAAAAATAAGTGGATTAACTCAGGGGAAAAAAAATAACAGAACAGAAAATGACCTAAGATAAAAAAAAAAAAAAAAAAAAAAAAACACCCAAGGGAGCAGAGTCATGAAAGAAATGATAATGCATGATGCAATGCATGATAGGAGACACGTGACAAGAACCAAGTCACCCCAAGCAAAGTGACAAGGGAAAAGCGGGTGAATAAAATGGAGACCCTAAACAACAACACCACACAGCCAAAGAGACTACGATTTCAGAAATCCGCAGATAACTCAGTCCATGCACTCTAAAGGCCCCCTTTGTGCCTCAGAGAGGTAACTGCCAGTCTTACTTAAAAGTTAGGGAGAGTCCTCTAGTTTCCAAGGGAAATGTCCAACTCACCTGGTAATAAGAGATAAATAAAAGAGGCTTAATTCCTTCCTTGTTAGGAGTTCTCAATTCCACGTGCAATCTTATTAGCATTTATGAGAAAACACAGTACAGGTTGGTTAGGTAAAGTCCCAGGAACCACCGGGAGGAGATGGGGAAAACCAGGTCTTAGGTCAGGTATAGAACAAATAACATATTTAGAAAGGAAGAGAGGAAGCAGGCTAGTGAGTTGAGGAAAGAACCCCCAAACCAAAGGGACACCTTTCCTGATTTCAGCAAACAAACACATAAAGCAGAAACAGTAGGACGTGTTTTCAAGAAATCAAGGAAACCGAAAACCTAAGAATGTGTGTGCAGCGAGGCACGGTGACGCGCCCAGGAGACGGGAGCAGGGGAACTCTGTGTTTCATGCCAGGCTGCTGTATATAAATGTAATCCTTCTTTACCTTCCCCGTTTCCCACCCCCGAAGAAGCATGAGTGTGCACCAAATTGCTTCTTCAATGAAATACTACAATTTAGATCTTGTGGAGTATAAATACAGTAGGTTTAACAGGGAATTTTATAGCCTTAATGTGTTTCTTTCAACAAAATGAAAGAAACTGGAGTTGGGCATGGTGACGTCCGTTTGTAATCCCTTTATCCAAAAGTTTGAAATGGGAGGATGACAAACATGAGGCCGTTTAGAACGATCCTGTCTCAACCAATTAGAAAAAAAAAAAGTCATGAAAACTCTAGCTCCTACCAAACCACGTAGGCGCTATAGGACCTGTTCTCATTTTCCTCCCAGGGGTTTATTCTGTCTATCTGATTTAAAAAGTGGGACTGTGCAGATGGCTCAGTCAGGAGAGTGTGTCTGTGCAAGCCTGAGAGCCTGAGCCTGGATCCCCAGCACCCATGTAAAAAGCTGCGTGTAGCTGGATGTAATTCAGGGCTAGGGAGGCAGAGACGCGAGGATCTCTTTCTTTGCATTCTGTTGTCCGCCTTCGTGAATTAATTAACTCAGCCCTATGAACTGTTTTCACTCTGCATCATTCCCGTTTTCCTAAAGTTGCTGTTCCCCATTTGTCCACCCCACTGCCAATTGTGAACTTATTTCTAGCTTATATTAGATGGTTTGACCACATAATAATATATAACAGCTTTCCCACAATGCAAATAACTGTTACCATCTGAACTCCTTGTGTCTTGAACAAACTTCTGCCAGAGCATCTGCTACACATACTGACATTAAAATTTTATATCTTTTCCTCCTTATCAAAAGATAAGTTCCTTGACAAAATGTGCAATTGCTTTATTATAGCTGGCCAGAGTGAATATCACGAGGCTACTCCGAGCTAGTTTCATGTGTTAGCTTTTTCTTTTTTTCTCTTTTGTCCTGGGGTTAAACTCAGGGCCTTGCAAATGCTCTGCTGTTTGTCTAGCTCCCAACCTGGCAGCCTTCCTGACGTCGCTTCAAACTGAATTGAAATTGTTGTTTCAGGGACCCGTGACATTAAGAGATGTTACTGTTGAATTCAGCAAGGCAGAATGGAAGCTACTGACCCCTGCTCAGAAGTCTCTGTACAAAGATGTAATGTTGGAGAACTACCGTCACCTGGTCTCTGTGGGTGAGAAAAATTTCCTCGTATGTAATGCCCAGTAGTTTCCATTTCTGCTCCCATTTGCTGGAACTCTACACAGGTCTATATAAACTCTATAAAGGTCTCTATAAAGACAAGTGACCCGAAGTTAATCTGTTTGGAAATACCAGAAAAAAACATGTGTGTTCCCACCTCTTCATTTAGAGAATACATTTTTGAAGCACACGTGGGATCGTACCTCTCTTCCAAGGGATTTATGTCATTTCCTTTCTCTTTATCATTACTAGGTTATCGTGTGGTTAAGCCGAGCGTGATCTCCAAGTTGAAGAAAGGAAAAGAGCAGGAGCCGTGGATATTAGAATTTTTACATCGCAACCGTGGTGGTGAGTGAGGGAAAAACCGTGTTGCATGTGGGCCCTTTGAAATACCCGTCGAGAATGCCTTTTAAAACAGGAGTCTTCCTGAATTCCCTATAGTTTCAGAAATGATTGAAGATGCTCTCTTCATGGGTTTAAATCCTAAATCACACCAATTTTTCTTCTCTCCACCTAAACCCCTATTTTGTTACACATTCTTAAATCAGGTTTACCTCTCTTTCCTCTGTTGAAAATAGGATTCCTATGCTATCTTGCCTCAGATTTCTATCTTTTGTTTTCAAATTTCCAATTATCCCGTACTATTGGAGCATGCGACCACAAACCTTAAAAATGTTTTCACATGCTGTCTCCCACCTTTTTCCTATTAACAACAAAATACCTGTTACTCTTAACATCAGTTTTAACTTCCTGTTCTGTCGTTAAGCTTTGAATTCGGATTCTAAATCATTGTGTTGCTTGTAGTCATATTATTTTAGCAGACCCGACGTTTCTGTCTGGGTTTGTTCTTAGCATGAAGCTCCTCATGTCATTTGTGGTGGTTTGACCAGGGGACTCCTGCCTCATCCCTCTGACTCGCGTGCAGTGCTTGATATACACTGCTTGTCCGTTAGCTACTTGCTGAAAGAATGAATGTTTAATAACAAGAGATACTGCCTGCCTTCTGCTTTATTATAAATCCTTCAAGGGCTACCCCCTCTTAAAACTAAATATTGCATTTTTATGTTGAAAACTGACTCTTCAATATCATTATCTACCTGTTGTCATATTTTGTTTTCTTACTCGAGTTACAAAAACCTGAGACTGGACCTCAGGTTGACCTTCCACACATCTCCCTTTGTTTTCTGTGGAATAATTTTTAGAGGTCTGTAGTAAGTTGGGAGAAGAGATACAGAAGCTAAAATATGAAAACAGAACTCATGACTTGTGTTGAACCATGGGTAAATAGTGCTTTAGAAATACAGGATGTGATGGTCAGGATAACATCAGGATTGGAAATCTCTGGTGTGACAACTGGGAAATTATCCTACTCTATAGATTGCTTGTTCCCTGATTGTGTGTGTGTCTGTCCTTCCTTTCAAGTGCATGTGTTCCTAGACGCTCATGTTCAGGTGAAAATTCAGTGGAAAGGAAATGCCTAAACCACAGGGATGTTCCTCTACCCATGAGGAAATTGATGTTCTGAGACATTCACTTGCTATCGACATTGCTCTGGACAGATGAAGAAGTTGATGAGCTTGTGCTCTGCTAACTAGTAACCCTAGTCCATCTGCACTTTGATTTGTGGTTTCAGCTAGCCACGGTCGACCACAGTCAAAGACAGTAAGTGGAAAATTCCGGAAGTCGGCAGTCCATAAAATTTAAGCCGCCTGCTGTTCCGACCCTGTGGTGTAATCTTGCTCTGTTCTTCACTAACAGGAATAATCTTTTTCTCTGCTATGGCCACACTATATGTGCCGCTTACCTTAGTCACTTAGTGGCCATCTTGGTTTTCAGATCAATTGTTGAAAGGCCGTAGCGCCCATGCTCAAGTAATTCTTATTTTACTTTTTAACAGTCACAAAGCATAGGAGTAGGGATCCTGGATATTCAGCTATGCCAAAATGAAACCTTAGGGCACTTCTTTTTACTAACGGGGAAGGAAGTATCATAGGGAATTATGCATAGGGAAAAAAAAATTGTATAGTGCAGGCCTATCCGTGGCTTCAGGCCTCCAGTAGGGAACTGTTAAACGGTAATCTATGTTTGTAGGTGTGAAGACCTGTATGTGAACCCATTAGTTCCTTTGTCCAGGTACTCGGTGCTCTTGAGTATGGATGTAAGCAGCTGCCTTGAATTTCTGCCTTCACGTCCCTGCAGTGAGGGGCTCTAAGCCTGAACTGCAAACCGAATAAGCCCTGTCCTTTTAAAGCTCTTTGTAGCCAGCGTTTGGTACTTTCTGGGTTCTTTCTTCACGCTTCCCCACCCCCTTTCTTTTTCCCTCTTAAGCCCCTAACACTAGATAGGAGAGAAAGAAGGGTAGAGAGTGAAGGTATCGTTAGACAACTCCCTGCTCATGAGGGGCATTGAGCTCCTAACCAGAAAAAATAGTGGGCAACCGTGTTCAGGAAATAGGGGTGTGCATACATGTGTATGTGGGGATGGGGGAACAAGGGGAGCGAATGCATGAGTGTCTGTGGCTCAGCCAGCTTTCCCTGTTGTTACACAGTTCAAAGTCCTGAACCCAGGCAGCAGTGCCTCTCGCTTTTAGGCTACTTTTCCCAACATTCACTAACATACTTGAGACACACCCACGGGGTCGACAGATCTAGATTCTACTTAAGAGTCTCTAGATTAACAGTGAAAACAAATGGTATAGAGGAAAACTTCATTTGAGAGTACTTCTGTCAAGACAGCCTTGCCTGAAGACTAAGACTCAATTGTTAATCACAATGGTTTGTAAAAAAATAAAATTAAATTAAAAAATTAAAAAAAAAATCTTGATTTCTTTGCAGACAAGCAGCGGAATGTTCGTGACCCCAAAGCCAAACACCAGGAACCCCAGGCTGGAACCTCAAGGCAAGTTTAATAATATGTAACATGTAGAATAGAAGCTTTGGGAGGAAGAATGGTCTTGCTTGAAATACTTTAGGTGGACTTAGAATGCCTTCCTAAGGGGCGTGATGTGGGATCAAGAGAGTCAGACTTCATTTTTGGTTTTTTTTTTTTTTCTTTCTTCTGAACTGTGCACTAACAGAGGCTTCATTATAAAAAAGCACAGTCTAGCCATTAAGAAACCCTGAGACAGGAATTCAGTAGGAGCCTCATTCTGTCCAGTGTGGATCAGTGTTCACAGGGGAGAAGCCCTTTGAACCTGACAAACAGGATTACCAAAGTCACCGTCAGAGTTATCCAGAGAAAGCACAACATCGAAAAAGCTCTGGAAGTCCTACTAACGGATTTGGAACTTTCTCTCTAGGAAAGAACTCACAAAACGCCGGAAAACTCCCGCCCAGCACGAAAGCTACGACTGTGGCGAGTGTGGAAAGTCCTTCTGCAAGAAGTCGGCCCTCACGGCGCACCAAGAGACACACACCAAGAGGTCCTATGAGTGTGAGAAATGCGGGCAGTCTTTCTATAAGAGCGAAGACCTCACGGTCCACCAGAAAGTCCACACCAGAAAGAAGACCTACCCGTGTAAAGAGTGTAACAAAATCTTCTACCACCTGTCCTCTCTCACTAGACATTTGAGAATCCACGCAGGGGAGAAACCCTATGAATGTAGCCAGTGTGATAAGTCGTTCTACCAGAAGCCACACCTCACGGAACATCAGAAAACACACACGGGGGAGAAGCCCTTCGAGTGTAAGGAGTGCGGGAAGTTCTTCTACGTGAAGGCCTACCTCCTGGTGCACCAGAAGACACACACGGGGGAGAAACCTTTCCAGTGTAAGGAGTGCGGGAAGTTCTTTTCTCAAAAGTCACACCTCACAGTCCACCAGAGGACGCACACGGGGGAGAAGCCCTACAAGTGCAAGGAGTGCGGGAAGCTCTTCTCTAGGAACTCACACCTCAAAACGCACCAGAGAACTCACACGGGGGAGAAGCCTTACAAATGCAAGGAGTGTGGCAACTGCTTCTACCAGAAGTCAGCCCTCACTGTGCACCAGCGAACGCACACCGGCGAGAAGCCCTTCGAGTGCAGCAAGTGCGGGAAGACCTTCTACTACAAGTCAGACCTCACCAAGCACGAGAGGAAGCACACCGGGGAGAAGCCCTACGCGTGCGCCGAGTGTGGCAAGTGCTTCTCCGTCAACTCGGTGCTCCGATTACACGAGAGGACGCACACGGGGGAGAAGCCCTACGAGTGCGAGGTGTGTGGGAAATCCTTCTCTCAGAAGTCGCACTTTGTCATCCACGAGCGAAAGCACACGGGGGAGAAGCCCTACAAGTGCCAGGAGTGCGGGGAAACCTACATCCAGAAGTCACAGCTCACGGCCCATCAGAAGACACACGCCAAGAAGGGGAAAGCTAGCAAATAGGGCGAGTCCAGAACGCATCCTTCTGCTCTGGTCCACACAGGAGGAAAACCTCCTAAATAGTGAGATAGTGAGGAAAAACTGTCAGCCATGTTTTTCTGGGGTTTTTTTGGTTTGGTTTTGTTTTTTTTTTTTTGTTGTTGTTGTTTGTTTTTTGTTTTTTGTTTTTTTTTCCTGTATAGAAACATCAGCAAATGCACAGAAAGAAATTCTGTGATGTTATTAGGGAGAACTTTGTAGTATGGTCGACTTTCGTAAGTGTCAGGTGGCAGAAACTGTGAACATTGTAAAACATGAAGGAAACCTTTTCTTTCAGAAGTTACCATGTAGGTGCCATATAGAAATAACTATATGGGGCAGAACTCCAGTAATTAAGCAAATTTCCAGAAGTTTCCATCATAGCACAGCACATAGCACCACCCATTCAGTCCACCGTGAGGAATTCTCATGGGTGTCTCTTCACACAGTTGGACTCATCTTAAAAATATGAGAGAAATAGTGCATAGATGCAGCAGGCACAGAAGCCTTGTCAAGAACGCACCCATCACTGAATGTTAATCATATTAATACTTTAATCATACCTACATAGGTATTGGAAGTATCTTCACACTGTTAATCATGTTGCCAGGGTCCAAGGTTGTTTTTTTTTTACTTCCTACAGAAACCAACCAACCAACCAAAACCAGAAACCAATAAATATCCCATATATCAAAGCTATTTAAAGAGCAACAATAAGAAAAGAAACATCATTAAACAAAGAAGTCTTTTAATAGGTAGGATGTAGGGGTGTGTGTGTGTGTGTGTGTGTGTGTCTACAAAACACATTTCTAAATGTGTGATTTGCTCCTGGAACCCGCTGTGGTTGTTCCTGAGCGCAGCAGCTGTAATTGACAGTGATTCTCACTGGTAGCATTGTTACTGTAGCTATGTTGGTGTATACTTTAAATGCATAACGTGTCTTTTCACCTATCTCCTCGTGCTTACAAATGGGGTCAGCCATTGTTACTAAATGGACCCCTCAAAAGAAACAATGTTTTTGTAATTTTTTCGGCTGTATCGTGAGCGGCTGAAATCTGGGTGGGAAATGCCTTTGAGCAGCTGCTGCTCCTACAGCAGCAGTATTCACTTTTCTTGTTGCAGATGTGGTGTCTGTGTTTGTGTTGCCTATGAAAAATACCTCATGGTTTTTCCTTCCTATTCTTGGTAGCAGAGGCAACATGGCCAGTGGCTGAAAGTGAGACTTTAGGCCCCCACTACCTTGACCCAGATCCCAGCATGCCATGGGACTCCACTGTGCCTAAGCTTCTTTCTCTGTGACAGTAATGGTAGAAACATCCTAAAATTACCTGGAGGTTGAAATAAGTTCCTATTTTAAAACTCTTAGAACAGTGTGTGTGAAACATAAGAACTCAGCGTTAGGTATTACTTCCGTTAATTTTTATTCCCTGACCCACACAGTGAAAAGGTTGGCAACACACTATCTCCCACCTTGTTGCTGTTAGTGCCTTGACTTTATTTGGTTGTGTATCTCCCCACGGTGGCTCAGGAGCAGATCCTGAGTAGGCAAGGCCTGGGGTTGATGCCCCATAGTCCATCGGCCAGATCCACAGCCCATTTTTTTATAGCCTGTAAGCTGAGATTAGTTTTATATTCCTTAATTATTGCAAAAGTTAAGTATTTTGTGAGACATGAAGGTTGTAGGAAACAAAACTTCAGTGTCTATAAACGAAGCAGTTTGAGAACACTAATACAAACCCGTTCATTTGCGTTCTGCCGGTGGCTGCCTTGGCACTGTGCTGGCAGAGGGAAGAGCAGACCACGCGGCCAGTAGAGCCTAGGACTGTGATGACTCAGCACTTTACCACATGGGTTTTTGTTACTCAGAGCTGCCCACACTGCAGCCAGTCCTGAGCCCACTCTTAGAGATGTTCTATTTGCCAAACATGGTGCAGCAGTGTGTGTGTGTGTGTGTGTGTGTGTGTGACTTCTGTGAAGTATGTTCGTTTTGTGCATTGTATTTCTATGTGGAAAGAGCCTAGGCTTAGAAGTATTTTTCCCAAAGAAATGTGTTGTTGTTTTTTTTTACTTACTGAATGGTTACAACGTCAAAACAAATCTCCTGATGAAATGTAACCCGTATGTGAAAGAAACATTGCCTCAATTAAATGGAATTGAATTTTCAATTGCTCTTTCCCGTGATATCTGGTTATTTTCTTCCAAGTCAGTGACCAATTTTTCTTATGTCATTTATAATTTTCTGTCTCATAGTAACATGCCGTCTCTATTATTATGAGTGTGTGTATGTATTTGTGTGTGTGTGTGTGTATGTATGTGGGGGGTGGGCACAGGGGCACAGGCATGTCCTGGCTCCATGGGGAGATGATTGCTTCCAGATATCTGCTCTCTGCTTCCTTTCACTGTTGTTCTGGAGATCATAGTTGGCCATCAGGCTCGCGTGCAGCAAATGCCTTTAGATGCTAAGCCATTTCACCAGCCCCCAATCTATGCAATGTTTAACTAATATAATGTAAGCACAAAACATAATGCCTGACTCTGGTTATATGAACTATAAAAATGTTCCTGTATTTCACACGGATGATCCTTGACGTAGAGCGTTTTGAGTTGGCCTTATAACTGTGAGCACAGTGCCCATTTGGCAGTAACCATCCTTCAAATGTTAAAGCTTTAACTCTTCCCAGGTAAATGACGAGAATGTGATATTCTTTACTCCCCTTCAAACCAGACACTTTCTTAGGCATTGTCTCAAGCCATAAATTAGTAGCTATAAAACCAGATCAAAGACAAGTGTAAGATGTGGACAATGATTCATCAGGTATACTTTAGCCAGAGCCACACTAGCCTGTGACAGCTCCATGCTTCCGAAAGCCTGGCCTAGCTTTCATTCTGACCTGGCTTTGGAAATTAACAGATTAGCTAAAGCCTTGGTCTAGTGTTATGTTTTTTTACACTAAAACTCAACCATTCTCTCAATACTGTTGTTTGTTTTTTTTTAAAACAAAAACAAAAAAAAACCACCCATCCTCTATTTCCACACACTTTGTGTCATTTGAGCTTTGTTAGCAATTTACAAATACACCTGCTAGTGTATTTGTCTTTCTCTATGTTGTACCCCCTTTTCTTTTAGCCCACCTAATCACTTATCCTTGGCCCCAAAGCACCCCTCTAAAACATATCTCTTATTCTCATCTTTCCTCTCTTTCTGGCCCTCCAATCTTCCTACTACTGCCTTCTTTCTTTCCCTCATCCTTTACTTTGCCTAATCCCTCTTCCTCAACCCCAAAGGCCACCCCAGAACCTTATCCTTCACCCCTGCCCTTGCCTATAATGCTCCTCTTGTACAGGGTGTCTTATCCCACCAGCAAGCTTGTTCATGACCTCCATTTTGTGTGTGCACTATTGGAACCATTCCAAAGTTCCATCTTTCCTTCACTGACCACTTGGATCCTAATGACCACACATACTTTGCCTGTATAACCCTAGCAAGCCTCCCAATCAACTGATCACAATTACACACTCTGCATCCATCCTTCCAAAAGTCACATTTAATGAAAAGTCCACACCCTACCTTAATATATCTCTCTGGTCCAAAGTAAATCATTAGGTTTCAGATCTCATTCTTACCACAGGTATCAGAGTTAGGGGAGGGTCTTATGGATTGTATTTTTACTGCCCAGGGACTAGTCATAGAACTCACAACTAACTGCATTAACCTACGGACTTTTGATAATACAGGAACATAAAATTGTCACATAATAACTGTAGTCTAGAACTATTGGACTCTAGATTTGCCGACCACTGCTCAAATGGTAGGGTATGCTAAAGTAAAAACATGTTGCCTTTCGTCTTAGGGTTTTATTGCTGTGAAGAGACTCCGTGACCAAAGCAACTCCTGTAAAGGAAAACATTTAACTGGGGCTGGCTTGTAGTTTTAGAGGTGTAGTCCATTTCCATCATGGCAGGAAGCATGGGAGCATGCAGCAGACCTGGTGCTGGAGAAGGAGCTGAGGGTTCTACATCTTGATCTACAGACAGCCAGGAGGAGACTGTGTTCCACACTGGGCGAACTTGAGCATAGCAGACCTCAAAGCCTATAGTGACAAACAAGGCCACACCTCCTAATAGTGCCACTCTCTACAGGCCAAGCATTCAAACACATGAGCCTATGGGGGCCATGCCTATTCAAACCACCACATCTTATATCAACAAATCTTCACAAGTACAACAAAATCTCTGAAACATCAAGGATGCCAGTGATTTTTTGAGATCAAGGAACAGAAAAAGTATATCATGAGGTTTGAAGTAACTGGCTGATCATATATGCCCAAGTTACTTTCCTCCCAGGGACTATTTACATTCATCTTTCTGTTTCTTCCACTTGGTCCATGCCTTTTTTTTTTTTTTTTTTGGTTTGGTTGTGTTTTAAAAGACAGGGTTTCTCTGTGAGGCTTTGGCTGTCCAGGAACTCTGTCGACCAGGCTGGCTTCGAACTCAAAAAGATCTGCCTGCCTCTGCCTCTCAAGTGCTAAGATACCATTTTTAACCTACATGTCAAGTTTATTTCTTCTGTTGTTCAACAGTTCCATCTCCAGATGATGCTTTGCAAGTCTTTCAACCAGCAAAAGTTCTTGCCGGGCATGGTGGCACAGTCCTGTAATCCCGGCACCCTGGGGTTGCAGAGGCAGGGAGATCTCTGTGAATTTGAGACCAGCCTGGTCTACAAAGTGAGTCTAGGACAGGCAAAGCTACATAGAGAAACCCTGACTCGAAAAACCAAACAAAACCAAAAAATGTTCCAGTTCTTTTAAAACTTCTTGGACCAGGTATGTAGATCTTCTATAAAAGCTCCCCATAAGTATGGTTCTATTTTCATGGCACTCCATGAAGCACTTGCCATAGCAACAACAACAACAACAAATATTGGTAAGGTCTGCTCAGCAACCATGCTAATCTCACAGAAGTGACTGGTCCCGCAGGTCTGTCAACGGAGATCCTGAATGGGGGAGTGGGAATGAAAAAGGGGACAAGGGCGCGAGAAATGAAGACCAAGAGAGTATCTCTGATCAAAGTCTCTGTTTATTCGAGTTTTCCATACAACTATATAAGCAGAAGCAGAAGGAATGTAATTGCCTTTGGCAGGGTTACTAAGTGACTAGAAATCACAGGATGGTCCACCAAGATGTGCTAATAATGGTAATTTGGAAAGTTCCTCAGAAGAGTTACTTAGGAAGCCTGAGGGAGAGGAGGATTTAAGGTATTTCAGGAAGATGATCTTATCGAAAGCCCCGGGTCAGCCAGGAATGCACTATTGTATCCGGGCAGTAGTCCGGTCAAGCCAGATGCCAAAATTCAGGGAGCAGCAAGGTGCCAGAAGGCCCCCGACACAGAAGCTGCCAGAGAACAGAGCTCACCAACTCTCTGAGAGTAGGTCTGTTGCTGCCACGAGTAGAAGGGTAAAGCTGAGAAATTAGAAAGGGATGAGGTCCTTATCTGGGAATTTCCACAGTGGTTCAGAGAGTGTCCCCCAGAAGAAAACAGGGGTTCGTCTCTGGATAAGCCATGAAAGTGAACTTATGTACATATTTGTGGCTAGTCAAGCTTAACCTCGTCCCAGCAAGGCACTTTGAAATAACACAGCCACTCAGTTACGTTAAACTGAACTGCTTTCTTGCCTCCTATGAATTGTAACTCTCCTGGTCAATGTGATTGCAAAGACACCCACAACCAAGCACCAAGGGCATGGGTGAGGTCTTATTGACACATGGGAAAGTGTTTCCAGAAAAACCTTGGAAGATCTTTTAGTCATTGCACATCCAGAAATATTTCATTGTTGCCAAATATTTTATGATTTCCCTAAGTTCTACGGAACCACACAGAGATTTCTAATGTGGTTTGGTAAACACACATTTTTTACCTCTATCTGCTGAGAAGTTTAGATTTACTTACACCCCAGAAGTGAGCACAGTTACAGAGCTAAGACATCAAAGTCTCTAACAATAGGTATTATTTCCCGGGGTCCTCAAGAAATGGCTGGTTCTAGGGCCAAGTAGTGGAAATTCAGGTTGCGTCTGTACCATCTTGTCGTATCAGAAAGTCAGGAAATGCTTTTCAAGAGTGATAGGAATATATTAAAAGTTTCTAAGAGCTCCCAATGTCCAACGTTTGAATACTGAGGATCATAATAATATACTATTGTTAGATCATATTAAGAAATAAAAAGTGTAAGAAGGAAAGGCCCTGACCTAAAACACTGAATAACAACAACATGATCCAAATGATGATCCAAAATGATGGTTGGTATATTTTAAAAAGCCAAATTCAGAATCTACGTTAAAACCATATTGCATTAATTTGGAATTCTGGGAAAGGTAAAACCACCGTATATAGAACAAATCAGCCTAAGAAGGGAGGGCTGGGTAAGGGGGAAAGTAGATAGACACATAAGTCCATACTAATGTAAGTAACATTGGATAAAGAAATGGGAGCAAGGAAATATTTCCTCTCAAATATATCAGGGCTGGAAGACAGGATTGAGAAATGATTATGAACTGGCAGGGACTAAAAAGATTTGTTCCTGGAGCAAAAAAAGAAAAAAAAAAAAGTGGGAAAGAGGAAATTTGAATAAATCCTGTAGTTTAGTTCTTTTCATGTTAAATGTTCCTCAGAGACACCATCTGCTAACATGAGCTAAATGTGAGGGAAAGCTAAGTTAATCTGTTTTTATTTATTTTTTAAGATTTGAGTCTCCTATAGCCCAGGTGAGCCTTGAACTAGCTGTGTAGCTGAAAATGACTTAACTCTTGCTCTTCCTGGAGACTGGAAGTGTGGCTCAGCGGGGACAGCTATCCTTTTGATGCTATTTAGCACTAGGCTGGTGGCTTGTCTCTCTCCTTAATCCAGAGAATCCCCACGTGGACGCTAGAAGTCCTTTCCGTTTAGATTACTTCCCAGGGTTTTAAATTTGCTTCACATTCGTAAATTAATTATCTGATTTAATTAACATATTCCTTAATTTCCCCCTCACCTCTCCTCTCCTTTTTCCATATCTAGTTTCCCTTCTTCCACAGCCTTTTCTTCCCCATATGCTCCTACCCATCCATATAAATAAATACGCAGATGCAAACAACCTGCCGGGTCCCCTCCAGTGTCGCCTGCGTGTATATGTTTCTGGAGCTGACCCCTTGGTATCAGATATCCAGTCGTGGGGCTCATCTCTGGGCAAGACTAATTTTCCCTCTCTCAGCAGCTGTCAATCGCCCGTAACTCTTCATCTCGGGATGACAGGAAAACAACTATGCCTAAGACTTAAAAACCTAGCCAACAGCTCACGGCCGATGAGGTCATGGATCTTATAGGAGAACACACTACAGCCGCTTTCCTAAATCAGTGTAATTCCTAACTGCCTTCCAAACATTCCAAACACTTATTAGTATACCCACAGGTAAGTATGGATCTCACCCATTGTCAAAGAAGCTTTTTTTTTTTTTTTTTTTTTTTTTTTTTTTTTCACTTAAAGGTTCAGGCAACATTGCAGAAGACCTGGCTGAGATTTTAAAAGCCAGAGGACCTAAGTCTGATATGAAATTGTGCAATGACGGGGAAGCCACGCCCATGAAATCTCAACAACAGGACCAAGTCCTGGACAATTCCAACACTGGTTGACATTCCAACATAAATTTAAGCACATCTTTCCTTCGTTTTGAGCGTAGGGAATATACTGATTTGATTCCCTAACTTCCAGGGTACTGACAGAACGCTGCCTCTCCATAGGAGTAATAAAAGATTCAGAACCTGACATGGTGTAGCAACCAGAAAGCCCCATCCTGAGAAATGAGTCTGACAAGGTTGTGTTTGTACTGTAAACGCCTTAAATCCTCACGGAAGCCCTGGTTTCTAGAGGCTTTCAACAGCATTATTTTACAACAGAGGGTTGAGACAAGAGCTGACTCGGCCCTGCAGGCAACAATCCTTCCAACACTGGATGCAGGGACCCCTCTCCCTCCACAGATGGGCGCACCGCCCCTTCCTCTGCGCATGCGCACGCTGCAGTCCTGCTCCAGGTCCTCCGCTGGCCTCACGTCCCTCCAGGGAAACAATCCTGGCCTTCGGCGCTGCGGGAGCGGCGGGTGAGCCACAGATGGCAGCAAGGGCGGAGGGTTCTGGGGGCTCGGGACCATCCGGGCCGCTGTCGGCATCGAGCGAGGAGCAGCGGCGGCCCGGCCTGGGGACGCGCCGGGGTGCGTTCGGACTCCGGCTAGCGTGGTCTGGACGCTCGTCCCGCACCTCTGCAGTGCCAGGCTAGGGCGGCTGGCTCGTGCCACGCATGCGCGTTTTGTGCTCTGGGCGGGGAAGGTGCGGGGTTGTAAGGAGTGAGGGGTTGACGTACGCGTGGCGTGAGCGTGACGCTGTGACGCGCGCGCTCTCTGGCTGTTGTGGCCAGATGCTGGGATGTTGTTGGTGGCGAGCGGGCAAGCCAGATCCCGAGTGAATGAATTACTGTGACAGAATAGCCCAGGCGAGATTCGGTTACTTTTTCTGCGCAGTGTGACTGTTAGGAATACTTGCTGCGTTTTGTTTTGTTTTTTTATTTCTTGGTTTTTTGTTTGTTTGTTCGTTTGTTTTTAATCTTCTACTACTTCTTGTGCAGGGAATACCCTGCGAGGGTGGCAGGGAGCCCACCCTTGTTGCGGGCCTTTGGACTGGTCCCTAGGGCGCAGTGCTTTGGCGTGGACGAGGCAAGTGGTTAGCTAGCCACCAAGCCTCCTGCCCCTCCCACTCCCGCCCCAAGATCCCAGTTGTGAATTTGATACTCGCTTATGTGTTTTGTGTATCCTGAAACCATGGAAGACTGTGTGCCCGCCGAGAGTCTGGGACAAGTTTAAGGAGAGAGAGGTGAGCTGGAGCTGAGAGAGATGCACCCGGGCTGCACAGGGAATGCCGTTTCTTTGGAAAACCGTTAGGGATGAAATGCTCACCGGTCTGGAATTGCTACCACCGTCCTAAGCATCTCATCCATCTCTCCTACCTTGGTGACTCCTGAGGGGCGGACTCTTAGATACTGAATCATCCAATGGTGGCCAAGATGTCTGAAGAACATCTTGCAGGTTTTTAACGACACAGCCAAGGCCTGCGGATGGTTTTGTCACTTTTAGGGTAAAGTTTCTTATCAAACGGAAGTTTTGAGAATTGTAAGCAAACAAGCAACTTAGACTTGTAAGCAAGCACATTTTGAAGTTTTTATTTTGCCTTAAATCTCCCCCCCCCCACCCACCCCAGCTCTTTTCTCAAGTTTTCTTGAATTATCTGACTTGAGGGGATTAGTGGTATTAAATAAACACCCTGTCCTGATTTCCCCATCCCTTCCCCCTTGATTATCAGTCTGGACAAATCCATAGCATTTCCTCCTTTAGATTATGATTGGTTGAATTAAAAAGATCGTCTCATCTTTTTAATTTTCCTGTAAGTTGGGTGGTAATGAGAAACAAGCGTTTGCATTCATTCCGTGAAAAGTATCAAAACTCGGCAAATGCTGGTGCTACACCTGCAGAAGTAAACACCTTGCTTGGAGCTGCAGAAGCAGGTGAGTCCCGGAACCGCAGGGCAGGCCAAGTCACTCCTGATGCGATTCTTCCTTCTCCCTCAGCTCTCCCTCTACCCAGAGCAGAAAATGAACAAATCCCAGGTGAGTTTTTGGCTTATTTATTCCTGTTTTGTTTTAAGAATTTGTTTTTAAAAAAATAAAAAAAAAGATTTTGGCTTTTTTTTTTTTCTTTTTTTTAAAAAAAAAAAAAAAAAAAAAAAACAGGCAAAAATTTTTCAGCCACGGTAAAAATCTGAATTAGGGCCAGCATCAGATAGAGGCTTTCTGAGCCCTTAGGAGGATTCAGTTCCGAAAATGTCTCTGTGTTTTCTGGTAGTCACACTGAGGTGAATGTGATACGTTTCCTATCAAAGAGCAGACCTAGCAGGACATGTGTCTGTCAGGGGTCAGTCTCTGGTCTGAGTGCATTGTCAAAGCAGCGATCCCAAGTGTTTAGGCAGCTCACCTGTGTGTCTAGGGAAGTCTGCATGTGGGCAGCTTGTGTTTATGCGTTTCTCACAGTCAACCTAAAAAATAAGACCACATTCCCTCACCACCATTCACCCGAATCAGTTCCAGAAAGGGCCACCACGGTAAATGTTCTTATCTTTGCCCTTTTGAAACTGTCAGCAGCGTTTGTTAGTTTTGACAGTGGACTGTTTTAAAGTTTTTTAAAAAATGTTTTTCATGCAATGTATTTTTATCATATTCTTTCCTCCCTCAACTCCTTCTAGATTCTCCTCACCCAACCTCATGTTCTTTCTCCCCTGGGGGGGAAAAAATCAAGAAAAACAACAAAAAAATTAAAAAATCAAGACAAACTAAAACAAAACATACCAAAACAAAAAGTATACACACACACACACACACACACACACACACACACACACACAATTTGAAAGTGCTTTCTGCTGTTGGAGCATCATGCTCTAAAGTCTCATTCCTGACTGATTTCTTACCAAGCCTTATGAAGGCGTCTTTTCTTTTTGTCCCAGACATTGCTTTCATCCTTGATCCCCTGTTCTTTGTTTTACTGATGGGTCTTCTGTGTCCTGTGTTTTTTTTTTTCTTAATGTTTTTGAATTAGTAATATACTAACATTTAGAATAGTATGTTCTAATAAAAATTTAAAAATCTGAGCCGGGGGAGAAACTGATAGGAAAGATGCAAGAAGTATGTATTCCTTTGCACTCCACACTTTCTGTTTCCTGTGGGTGTGGTGATATGTATCCTTTCCAGACATTTTCGCTGAGCATGAAGAAGATCCTATGAATAATTATGCTAGCTCACAAATTTTGGGACAACTCCAGATATAAATGTACAGTCAGTCTAGCATAGTTACTCATTTCTTACTCATAGCTCCTTAAATAGTCTACAGTGTTTATTCAATTAAAAAATATACTTGACTATTTAGATCCCTTTTTATTTATGAACCTGATTTCAGGGCTTCTCAAACTCAGATGCACCTGTGAATCCACAGCATCATTTTGATGTGAATTCTGAGATAGTAGATGGAGCCCTGAATCTTCCTCCTTGCTGCCTTCCTTTTCTCTACCATTCTTTCCTCTCTCCCTCCCTTCTCTTCCTCTCTCCTCTCTTTTTCTGCTTTCCCTTGGAGATTAAATCCAGGGCCTTGAATACACTGAACAGTGCTCTGCTCTGGTACACCCCAGCTCCTCAGTTTTTAAGGCAGGGTCTTACTATGTAGCCTAGACTGGCCCCTAACTTATGACCTGGCTCTGCTGTCCAAATGCTGGGAATGACATGGACCACAAGCCCAGCTGGATTCTGAATGTCTGCAGTCAGATGCTTCACCACAGAGTTGTGCCCTCTGAATTCTGAATTTCTAATAAGTTCACAACAGAATCCTGTTCTGCCGTTCTTGGGACCACCTTTTGAGGGGCAATATTTTCCATTCATCTTTTTTCATTTCACAGCATGTCCAAGAGGTCCTTCTGACAATGTCTGGATTATTGCTGTTGTATGTGCTTCTCTCTCTCTATGTCTCTCTCTAACTCTCTCTCTCTGTGTCTCTGTGTGTCTCTCTGTCTCTCTCTCTTCCTCTATCCTCTGTCCCATGACAGTTGGAGATCCACAATATATCTGTGTCCAATAGTAGTTTATTAAACTACTTTTGTTCTAGCCAATTGGTGGTAGCTCACGCCTTTAATCCCAGTACTCAGAAGGCAGAGGCAGGTGGATCTCTGAGTTTGAGGCTAACCTGGTCTTACAGAGTGAGTTCCAGGACAGCCAGGGCTGCACATAAGAAACCCTGTCTCGAAAAACCAAAACCAGCCAACCAGCGAAACAAACAAAAGAAACCCCAAACCAAAACTACTGTTATTCTTTCACAGAATGACATGTTGAAACCATGTTGAAAGAGTAACCTGTGTGAACACATGTATGTGCACTAGTGTGTCTCATGTTATTCATGTAATTATGTTCCCGGATTCCCAGAATTTGATCAGCCTCTTGGGACTCAGTCCTCTTGGAGTGAGGATTTATAATCTCATTGGCGGCACATGAGAATGTTTGTCTTTCCACAGTTTTTCCTGTGGACTATGTGGTTAAGTTTTTGGGCTTGGAGTTCCATGAGTAAAAAGTGGTGTCTCAGTACAGCTCCTACTGTACTTTCCTTTGCTCTGAGCGAAGTTCTTTATGTGCGTCTGATAGTGTTATCTTAGGGTTACCAATGCTGTGGTCAAACACCACGACCAAAGGAAGTTGAAAAAGGAAGGGTTTATTTGACTTATACTTCCAGATCATAGTCTCTCACTGAAGGAAGTGAGGACGGGAACTTAAGCAGGGCAGGAACCTGAAGGCAGGAGCTGATACAGAGGCCCTGGAGGGGTGCTGCTTACTAGTTCGCTCTCATGGCTTGCTCAGCCTGCTTTCTTATATACCCCAGGACCACCAGCCCAGGGATGGCCCCACCCACAATGACCTGTCTTACGGGCTTCCTTACAGGCCCATCTTACGGAGGCATTTTCTCAGTTAGCATTCTCTTCTGTCAGATGATTCTAGCCTGCGTCAAGGTGACATAAAATTAGGCAGCACAGTTGTCTGTTTACTTCCTGCAGGTCATTCTGTGTTTTCAGCCTGCCTTTTTCATACATTTTTGGTTTTGGTTAATGCTCCTCCATCACTTCTTCTCTTCAGCGTTCTATTCCTGTTTAAACCTTTCGTCCCCAGAATTTCTTTCTTCTGTTTCATAGAGCACGTGCCCTCCCATCTCTACCTTCTTCGATGTCTCTTTCCCTTCTATTTCCACCAAGGCGCCTTTCTCATATCCAGGTCTCTCTGCACACATCAATTTAAGGATCCACATAGAAGAACTTGAAGCTGAGATCCATACAGAAGAGAGAGCATTTGGCTTTTCACATGTGGACCTGGATTATCTCAGTGCAATATTTTTCAGTTTCACCAATTTTTCCACAAATGCTATAATTGTATTTTTACTTACAGCCGAATAAAATTCCATTCTGTGTATGTAACTACATTTTCATTGCCAGTTCATTAGTTGGTTGTCATTTAAATGGGTTCCACTTTTTACCCCATTTTGAATAGAACAGTGAACCAAAATGTGGAACTATCTCAGAACCAGAATGTGTAAATATCTCTACGATAGGACTTAAAATCCCTTAGGTGTATGTGTACGTGTTGTGCCTGGGTCAATGGAGTTCTACTTTTAGGAGTTTTTTTGTTTTGTTTTGTTTAAATCCCAAGACTTATCTTCAAAGTGGCTGTCTTATTTCCACTCTGCTCACAGTGTGTAAGGAAGGGTTACCCTTTCCCTAAACCCAGGCCAGCATTTGTTATCGTTTGTATTCTCATGTATTCTTGATGATTGCCGTTCTGACTGGGTTACAGTGGAATCTTCATCTCCCTGGTGGCTAAGGATGTTTACTAGACATTTATATTCTTTTTTGAACTCTGTTCAGTGCTACATACATCTTTTAGTTGGGTCATTTCTTGATGTTTAGTTTTTCTAGTTCCTTGTATATTCTAGATGCTAATTCTCTGTCAGAGGTGCAGACCCAGGAGAGTGATCAGATTAGATCGCAGGTCAGACTCACAGTGGTCAGGAAGTTCCACATCTCCCAGCAGCTCCAGCAGAAGCTGTGGCCGCAGGGAGGGGACAGGCCCTGAGCTGACAACCGTTCAAGTTGCAGCCTATGGGACCTATTCCTAGTCCTTCCTGGGGGGTGGTGTGCTGTGCAGTCCCTATCCAGGGGTGAGTACACTGTGAAAACAGTTACCTCTCATCTTTGCAATCATCGCCTCTAAGGGCCAGCTTTAGAGACCACACAGGGGTTAATAACAGTGCGTTCTGTACTAATGTGTAATTGTGAGCGTAGGGAAAGAGAACCTGAGAAAGGAGTAGAAAACGGTTCAGAGGCCTTTGGCCTATTAACTACTCTGCAACCTAAACGTATCACACCCCTCACAGATCTGTTGAATTCTCTTGTCCTTTCATTTTCTTCTGAATTTCCTCTGTTTCATTGAACATATTAGTCACAGTTTATTTTGAAGTTCATGCTTATTTCAATATCTGCTTATTTTGCCTAGTTTGTTTCTTGTTCACTATTGGATCACATACCAGGAAACTATTTACTATGTTTAATAAAATGACCATACTTAAAAAAAAAAAATCCACAAGACTCCAGAAAATGATCTCCTCAAGCAGACAGAGTTCATCCTGTTCCGTGGATGTTAAGACTCAGGGCAAGCACTTTAGTCAGTCATGCGCTTTTTCTAGTGGGAGACTGTCTCTTGTTTAGCAATATAATTTTGCTAACAATTTCAGGTTGTAGTTCCTAATAAAAAGTGAAGTCTACTGCCAGACTTGCAGTGTCCATTTATTAAACACACGCACACACAAGCACGCGTGCGTGTGCGCGAGCACACACACACACACACACACACACACACACACACGTGCACACACAAGCGCTCGTGCACACACACACACGTATATTCTCCTTACCAGCTCCTTTGAGAGTAGTAACTCAGTTTTTGCTTGCCTCAGCAGTATTCATAGCAACTGTTTTAAAACACTCCCAGACCTTTAGCAGAATCTCAGTTTATTCAAGATGTTTTCTTTTATTCTCTACAGTGTAGCTAAAGGGGTTGTGTGTCCTATTTATTATTTTTCAGTAAGCGCTAAAGAAAATGGTTCTGCTAAATCTCGATATTGCCCAGTCCTAATGACTTCATACAGAAAAAAGAATACTTTGTTACAGGAGCAAGTGTCATTCAAGGATGTGTGTGTGGATTTCACCAAGGAAGAGTGGTATTTGCTGGACCCTGCTCAGAAAGTGCTTTACCGGGATGTGACCCTGGAGAACTATAGCAACTTTGTCTCAGTAGGTAAGGGTTTATTCTCAGTGTGGCTACTGGCCACACATTTCCTGAGTCGGGAGGGAATGCTTGTAATTTCCAATTTGAGGCTTAAGATTTGAAGGTCTGAAGAAACTGATCCCTTTTTGCTGTGACAATGGTATATTCTCATCCCTGCAGAATGCTAAGGACCTTCCTGAACCATGGCTGAAGTTGGATCTTTCTTCTTCTTTTTTTTTTTTTTTTTCAGTTCACAAAGCTAAGCTATTGAGAATGCATCCTGTGCTATTTTGTCTTAACAGGGTATTGTGTTGCTAAGCCAGAAGTGATCTTCAAGATAGAGCAAGGAGAAGATCCCTGGATACCAGAAAATGGATTCCAATGCAATCCAGGTACAGTAGTACATTCATTGGCCAGGGAAAGTAACCTTGTGGCATTTGGCAATTTAGGTTACCTTTGTGTGTGTGTTTGTGTGTGTGTATGAGGCCTTTATATATACATATATATATGTATGTATATATATATACATATATATGTATATATAATTTCATATATATATATATAATTTCATATATATATGAAATCCCTATTTTATTGCAAATCTTTGGAAATGGTGGAGAACAGTGTCCCACATCTTGTTGTCTGAATGACTCCTCCATCTGACTCTCTTCCATAGTCACTTTTTCTTTTGCTTTGACATGTTGGAGTGATTTATTTTTACCTATAAATTCAAAGTCAGTTGGCTTTATCTTAGACATATTTTTCTGTTAATCTCTATTTATTTTTAAAAATTATGAACCTTGTGTCTATTTTCTTTGGACACCTCCCATTATCTAGCATATATATGCCACTTAACAGATGTGTAATAGTGAACATTACTGTGATACAGCCACAGAAATTAAGAGAGTTATACCAGATATTATAGAATATATGCTACAGTGAACAGCACAAACATGTAGATACAGTTATCTGTTTTTAGATATACTTGAGTACATACATATTTGTGTATGTACACAGAGGTAGGTGGTGGTAAGTATGATGAAGAGAGCTCTCAGAGGGGAAGGGAAACTAAAGAGTGATGATGTATGCTGTTTGGCAAAGAGGTCAGAGAAAACAAATGAGGCTTGTTAGATACACACACACACACACACACACACACACACTTTTTTGTTGTTTTTTTGAGACAGGGGTTTTTCTGTGTATTCCTGCCTTTCCTGGAACTCACTGTGTAGGCTAGGCTGGCCTCAAACTCAGAGATCCACCTGTCTCTGCCTCCAAGTGCTGGAATTAAAGGTATGTGCCACCATGCCCAGACAATAATTTATTTATTTTTATTATGTACATTGGCATTTTGCCTGCATGTGTGTCTGTGTGAGGGTGTCAGATCCCTGGAACAGGAGTTACAGACAGTTGTGAGCTGCCATGTGGTTGCTGTGGATTGGACCCAAGTCCTCTGGAAAAGCAGCCAGTGCTCTTAACTGCTGAGCTATCTCTCCAGCCTGTGTATATATAATGTTTTAATGGAGTAAGAATAAACCATGTGGACTGAAATTATTCTAGATAGAACTTGAGGTACCAGGCCTCTACACAGCTTTATTCTGTTTGAACAATAGCAGAGTGTTGCTGGGAAGTGGGAAGTATGGGCAAGACTGATGAGAATGGAGTTGTGAGTTATATCCATGCTTCGTGGAAGATACAGCAGGTTCATCTTGATCAATGCAAGAAGCCCTATGTTGAGTTAATGTAGATCAGATGGAATCATCAGAGTTTGTTTCAGCTTCAAAGGGTTTACCTGGCTTGTGCAGTAGTTGGGGTGGTGTTCAGTAGGTGGACATGAGTATGAAAAGGCACCAGCTAAGAAACTGCTGTGCAGTCCAGAAGAAAGAGTAGTAGCCAAGACCATACAAGAGACTGACAAGCACTGGGTTTGTACAGACCTCTTGAGAATAGGTTTTGAACAGAGATTGCTATTGGATGAGGATAAAAAAGGAGTTCAACATGACTTGAGTTCTTTATCTCAAGTAACTAGACAAGTTAAGAAGCTGTTGAGGTAGAGAAAATTCAGAACAAACATGGTTGGGAAAGGATTATTACAGATTCAGTTTTAGAAGTTGGAGGTAACTGTTCAAATGTAGCCTGGGGTTCACTTTAAGATTGGAGTTATCCCGGAATGGAATGCCTAGCTGAGCATTTGAGCTATTTGAAGACATCGATTTAGATGGTATTATGGTGTGAGATTAGACAGAATTTAGAGCTGAGATAGACAGACTTCTTTGTTTAAAAAAAACAAAACAGTAAATATGTTCAGTGTAGTGTCATGGAGAGTCCTGGTTGTTGTTGCTGCGGTTACTGCTCTTCTGTCTTCGTCTGCTTGGTCCATAACCCCTTTTTGTCCTCCCCTCATCCCTATTGCTTTTTCTACTATTTCTCTTTAAAAAAAGGAAAGAAAGAAGGAAACCTTTTAATTGTAAGGAATTGCCTCATGCTGTAGTTTTCCAGACCCTTTTCTAGGGTTTGGCTTTGTGTCAGCCAGCGCAATTTTGGGTCGATAACATCTTCATAAAGTTACTAAGTCCCTCCATTAGAGAAGATATAGAAGGAACAATCTGTATTATACAAAGCCCAAGATTGTTGACATATTCTTTTCATCTATTTTATTGGGTTCTTATATTTTAACCTCTCTACCAAACCTTACACCACCCTAAGCCCTTCCAACCCCCAACACTAGGTAGGAGAGAAAGGTTAGAGGGGAAAGGGGGCGTGGACCTCTCTATAGGCTATTTTATGCTGATTTGGGGACCTTGGGTTCTTTGGGGCAAGTCAAAGGCAACAGTTCATTAGGTTACTCAGCAGCAGGATGAACCAGCAGCAGCTGGGGAGGGGGCGTGCAGCCTCCTCCTCCTCCTTCTCTTCCTCCACTTCCTCCTTCTCTTCCTCCTTCTCTTTCTCTTCCTCATTTTCCTCCTCCTCTTCCTCCTCATTCCCCTTCTTCCTCCCTCCTGCTCCCTCCTTTTCCCTCCTCACTCCTCTCTGGGCTCTGACATTTACACCCTCTCAGGAGTCCTCAGAATTCCAAACATACACTATCTGTAGCTGGCAAAAATCCTGCCCCTGCCAGTGTACAAGGCAAATCAGAGTTAGCTGCTGTGGACAACGTGAAGCAGCCCCATATCCCACACCTGGTGTTAAAACCAAAACGTAGTCACATAACAAACTGGGTTTTTAAATAAACCACAGTTATCACTACCCAAGATTCCACTTCTGAGGAATCAAGTATAGTCCAACCTTACCATCTTACTAGTTCCTCTGAGTGGCAGCCATTTGTGTCAGCTCTTAGGGCTTTCATCTTACTTGTGCTGTTTTTCTTTCCAAATCCTGGCACCTGTTCATGAGGTTACTCTCCACTGATCACACTCAAAAGCAGACTTCTGTGTTCTCTTCACTCCTGTCATTGTTGCTTTCTTTCCTTTTTTTTCCCTTCCCCTTTTCCACATGAAGCATCCAGTTTTTCTTTCCCTAGCCCATAGAAATAAATAAGGCTTCTGCCACTGACGATTACATGATTCTGTTCCACCTGTCTTATAATTTCATTTTGTTTTCTAGACTTTATAATAAGCCTCATAATTTGTGTCTTAGTTAAGGTTACTGTGGCTGTGATAAAACACCTTGATCAAAAACAGCTTGGGGAGGAAAAGGTTTATTTGGTTTACATATCCTGAGTCACAGGCCACTGAGAAAAGCCAAGGCAGGAACTCAAACCAGGTGGAAACCTGGTGGCAGGGAGGCCATCAAGGGGTGCTCCCATGTTTTGTTCAGCCTGTTCTCTTACAGAACCTAGGACCACCAGCCCAGGGATGGTACCACCTACCATGGGCTGGGCCCTTCCCCTTCAGGAGTTAGAAAATGCCCTCCAGGACTGCCAACAGTGGGACCTGATGGAGGCAATTTCCCAGTTGAGTTTTTCCCTCCTCAGATGACTGTAGCCACGTCGAGTGGACATAAAACTAGCCAGCAAACTCGTTTTGTGCTTGAAATATGTTTATAGTCTCTCCTTTGTCTAAGTTTTCATTTCCTTTTCATCTTTTCCCCCCAAAGCAACCAGTACTACATCCATGAAGTGTTTAGACACTGCGTGCCTACCATATCCATCAGTGTTTTGAGTTTTGACGTTTATAATGTTTTAAATAGTATAACCAGTTCCCCATCCCCGCTTTCACAGCATCCTATTTGTGTCTTCTCTTCAAACCAGGATGGTAAAGGAAATACGTTGGATTCAGTTTGTACCAGGAAACTGAGTTTAAAACAAAAGAACTAACCTTGAAGAATGTCTGTAAAAGTTCACATCCATCAGCCATGTTAGGGCCCTTTAGCTTCCCAGGTCCTTCCTCTGCTTTGTGGGGGGCCTTTTCCCCCGTGTGCCTGCTGTCTCTGTGTTTCCTCACTCTTATAAAAGCCTTAAAAAAAACAAAACAAAGACAAGTATTAAATTCACAAGGTGTGCTGATTTTTTTCTTCTCATTTGTAGAAAGGAAATGGAAAGTAGATGACCTATTAGAGCGCAACCGGGAAAATCAAGATGAACATTTTTGGCCACTCGCGTTCACCAACAAGACTGTACAGCTACAGAGTGGCGGAAACACAAGGAAAACTGCCAGTCTAGACATGGACCCTGTTTCTTCAAGAAGTTTTCTGCTCAAAATATGTGACTCCTGTGAAATGAATTTGAAGAATATCTCAAGTATAATTATCAGTAAAAAGAACTATTCCAGAAAGAAGCTTAATGAGTTTAATATATGTGAGAGGGCACTCTCTGATAGCAGGCACGAGAAAATTCCTGTGGGAGCAAAATCATACAGATACGATGAGAAAAGAGATGTCCTCAGCTTTTTCCAGGATCTCCCTCAGCCAATTTCTGATCAGCCTTTTGAGTACAACGGAAATGGACAAGGCTTCCATGAGGAAGAGGCCCTTTGTAGAAATCAGAACGCCCAGCTCGGGGAGACTCTCTATAAGCGCACTGACTGTGGAAGGACTTTCACTGACAGTTTGAAGCTCAGTGTGTCTCAGGAAACTCGTGTGCACACAGACCCACAGGAGTGCAGTGTTTGTAGGAAGTCCTTTTATGTGGATTTGCAGTTTGGACATCAGAGAGTTCCCTCAGGAAACGATCCTTATGAGCGCAGTGAATATGAGAAAATCTTCTGTGACCATTCAGCTTTCGTTGTTCATCAGGAAGCTTACACGAGAAAGATTGCCCAAGAGTATAAAGTGAGTAACAAAACCTGGGGAAAGCCGGCTCTCTTTAAACATCAGATAATACAGATTGGGGGGAAACCCTATGAATACATTGACAACGGGAAAAATTTTAGCAAAAAGTCACATCCCACCCAGTCTCGGAGAGCCCACTTGGGAGAAAAAACCTTTGAGTGCAGCGAGTGTGGTAAAATGTTCTGGGAGAAATCAAACCTTACCCAACATCAGCGAACACACACAGGAGAAAAACCGTATGAGTGTAGGGAGTGTGGGAAAGCCTTTTGCCAGAAACCACACCTCACCAACCATCAGCGAACACACACGGGAGAAAAGCCCTATGAATGCAAGCAGTGTGGGAAAACGTTCTGTGTCAAGTCCAACCTTACCGAACATCAGCGAACACACACGGGGGAGAAACCCTACGAGTGTAACGCGTGTAGAAAATCCTTCTGTCACAGGTCAGCCCTAACTGTCCATCAGAGAACACACACGGGGGAGAAGCCATTTATATGCAGTGAATGTGGGAAGTCATTTTGTGTGAAGTCAAACCTGATTGTGCATCAAAGAACTCACACCGGGGAGAAACCCTATAAATGTAATGAGTGTGGGAAAACCTTCTGCGAGAAGTCGGCTCTCACTAAACACCAGAGAACTCACACGGGGGAGAAGCCCTATCAGTGTAACGTGTGCGGGAAGACTTTCAGTCAGAGGTCAGTGCTCACCAAGCATCAGAGGATTCACGCCAGGGTGAAAGCTCTTTCCACGTCCTGAATGTCCAGCCTTCATATGTCCGTCAAGTCAGTTGTACAGTTTTAAAAGTGAGCTTAGAGCCTGCCAAAGAATACCACAGAGTACTAGAAAATGCCATTTTGTTGAAATGCATGAACACTTTCAAGAAAGTAAAAACTTTCATTAGAAAGATTGTATTGAAGGGAAATTATTCATATAAATAATACGGTAAAAAAAAATCTATAGATTTCAATTGTGTAATGTCTTCCAAATGTGTTTATTTAAAGTTTGTATTTTAAATATATAAAGGGTAATACTAATTTCACTGGCATTCATAGGAAAATACGGAACTTAAAAATGAGCGGCAGTAGCTCATTAAACTTGTATGTAAGAAACACCTGATGTTTATAGATCTTGTGTGAGTATGTGACAGTAACAGAAATTTAGGAAGCACTTGTTTTGTGTATTGGAACCCAGTAAAGATGTGAGGAAGAAATATGAACCCTTAGTTTAATAACAATTGTTATATACTGTTCCTACTAGATACCAACAGTGTCTTTAGGTTGGTAGGGTTGTGTATGTTTATGAATATGTGTGAATGTGGGTCTATGTGTATGTTTTATGTGAATATATTTGTATGCATGTACCTGTACACAAATGGTGATGTCATAAGGGCAGCTCAGACCAACTTATAAAACTTCAGGAATTTTGTGAGTCTGTTGTTTAAAACTACGTGAAGTTAACAGTTAAATTATCTTGAGAAACGGAAATAAATACCACTCGTCATTCCTAGTAATTAGTTGTATTCTGCTCTTGTCTTTGCTGTGTGCCATTGGTGTGCATGCTGAGAGTGTTGTAGAATGGTGTGCTACTGCAACTCTTCTTCAGACCACATACCTTTCATGTTGGTGGCTTGGGCTTAGAATGTTTACACTGTGGAAAAGGATTGTTGGTTTGTTTGTTTTCCCAGAGAATCTGTGTGTATATAAACTGTACGGCAGATTTAAAATATTAACTACCGTCTTTGTATTTCATAAAACAAGTAAGTGGCTATGACCATCATCACCAAACTGCCTTTATAGTAATGAAGCCAAAAGATGGTTTATTGAGCCTTTTATTACCTCAGAATTGTCCAGTTCTAAAAATTACCTGTCTCTTGATAGCCTGGCCAGTATGTGCTTCAGATGACATTATTTTACATACAAAAAACATTCTCACAAAAACATATTCACTACTCTGGACTATGAATAAGTATGGCCATTATTACCAAAGTACTCATTTGGTGAAGAAATCAAACAGTATATTTCTGAGAGTTTTTCTTAGCTACCTCTGTGTCAATTATATAAATGCTGTTAATAGAAATGGTATTTACATGACGTAAATACTTACCATCAGCTTACCAGTGGTAAACTATTTACCATTAGTTGTAAATGGCAATACAGTCTAAAAATTTAAAAATGCTAGTGCATATTAAAATGTTCATTTTATACTCTTGGTATTCCATCGTGTATCTATTCAGGCATGATTACATGTAACAGTAGTTCTATGTAATTCAGTAATTATATAATTGTATTTAAAACAAGAGACTAACGTATAGTGTCTTTACCTCCTTTGTTCTATTCCCAATACCTCCTGGAAACACACTAACCAGTAGTTTAAGAGATGCTGATCACCTTTCCTGAGCTGATTTTTATCTCTGTGTTCCTCTGTAGTGGGAGTTTTGGTTTCTTTAAACACTCAGTTAGGTTATGTAAACATGTTTTTGTTTTATCCTAGGTGTGGGATATAGGGTTACTTTAGATTGTCCACAGCAGCAAACTATTTGCCTCATTCGGGCTCTGAGAGGGGCATGATTTTTGCCAGCTGTGGATTGTTTAATTCTGGGTTCTCTGAGAGGGATGAATACCAGAGCCCAGAAAGAGAGGTGGCTCGAAGGAATAAGATGGATGCTGCTCCTCTCTGCTGCTCCTAGTTACTGCTGGTGGAGTTTGACGAGAAGAAGTTGGAGACAGCCTGAAATGAAGATTGGACTTGCCCCAAGAACTCCAACGACCTTAGCCAGCAGGAAGTATGTATCTAAAGAGAACTCTGCCCCATCTACCCATTAACCTTTCTCTCCTACCTGGTGTTGGGGTGTTGAAAGGATTGGAGTGGAGAAGGGAGAGATATAAGAACCCCAATAAGATAAGTTTGAAAACATACCTACATCCCTCCTCAGATGGTTTGGGGGTAATAAATCCAGCTTAGTCAAAGCTAATCATGGGAACTCCCTTCTGGCAGCTCTGTTGAGGTTATTAGTTCTCAGTGATGAAGGTGTGGTAATGTGAGAGGGCATAAGAGGCATGAAAAGAGATCATACCCTTTTGTATGCACTTATTTACATCGGCATATGATGCTGGCATATAGTTTGTGGTCTGGGAGGGCAGCAGCCAGAAGATGACTGCACACAGTGAAAAAGCTGACCCAGATAATGATGTCGAGGAACTGTTTAGCTCTCTGCAAATACTTTTTGTAGACTTCTGGGACTACGTATTATTTTCAACAGCACCTGTTTCCTGTTTATTATTAGGACTGCCTGGTACTTAGAGCTAAAGGCTTTCCAGTTGATAACAGATCACTTTTCCAGGTGCTAACATTCAGTACAGAGGTTTGTGGGAAGACTTCCTTGTAACAGTTTGATGCAGGGATGGATGCTTTTTAAAGCCATAATTCTTTCTGGTGGAAAATAGAATCCCTCAAGTAAAAAGATTTTAATGGTAGACTTACTCCAGTAATGTGATCTAGAGATGTTGAAACACAGACTAATGCCTGCAGGTAGCCATTTTCATTCTGACAAGGATGTAAGCTGGATTACCACACCCAGTTCAAGCTGCTGTCGTTGACGAAATACTTATGGCACCAAATTCCTAGTACCCTGTTTTGAAGAACCCAACCAGGTGCATCTGCAGGTGAGCCCAGAGAAGGGTGGAGGGAGACACTGGGGAGCAAAAATGTGGAATAAGCAGCTTGGCGGGGGGTGTTCATTTCTGTAAATTCCCAAACCATTAGTAATGGAAATAAAGTTATTATACTAATTGAAACATATTTTCTGTGTCGTGCTTCATATGAATAAAATTTGCTATGAGTAATTTTCCTTTGAAAATGAGTTCTAGAGCAGGTATGCCTATCTTTTGACATGTTTAAGTCAGGCATTATGTTAAATTGCATATTTGACAGCGTATCTCTGTGATGTTCCTTGTTATATGTGAAGTAAGCATCCCTGCTTTTCCCCCTATAAATTAGTGACATGTCGCTGAACTTTTTTTAACCAGTCCACCCCTTTTCTTATTTATTAGCTATGGCATTATATTTTAAACATCAAGTTGTGGCTATTGCTTTAATAATGCTGAATGCAACTCTTCAACATCTTTGTCCCTATTTCCTTTTACTGTGTGATAAAATACTACTAAGAAGCAACTAGGGTAGGAAAAGGGTTTATTTGTCTCACATCCCAGTTACAGTCTAAGGGAAGTCAGATCAGGAGATTGAGGCAGGAAATAAAGCAGAAGCCAGTGTAAGGGGAGCACTAACTACTGCCTTGCTCTCCGTGGCTTGCTGAGCATGCTCTCTTATATACTCCAGGGCCACGAGTCCAGGGTTGGCAACACTCACAGTGGTCTGGGTCCTCCCACATCAACTATCAACCAAGAAAATGCCCCCTGTACTTCCCTACAGAGCACTTTGATGGAGGCATTTTATCAAGTTGACCAACACCGCCCCCTCCCCCGCAAATAATTAGTTTGTTAGTAACAGATCCTATCCAGGTGATCACAGAGTAGGCCCTTATCCCAACTGGAAGAGTTTGAGTGATCGTATGTTCCAAAACAACCCAGTTAGAACTCACCATAGATGGCTTTCAGTGCTCTTGGTGGATAAGTTTATGGCATTCCAAGAGTTGTGTCAAAAACAAACACAAAAACATTTGTCCTGCAGTCTATTCAAAGTCAGCTCTGCACACATAAGGTACATTTGCAAAGGATGTGATTTTAAATGCATAAAAAAAATCAAAATAGGAAAAGTTATCAGAGGGATAGCTCGATCTTAGGGAAAACAAATGGGCCTCATTAAAAAGGCTTCATTGAAGGATGACCAAACGTCGGTAACCTCAACCCATTAGTAGCAGGTCATTTTGGAACCCCTAATTCTCCAGTAGACAGAATATCTGGATGAAATATAAACACAGAAAGATCAGAATTAAATGGCATGCTACATCAAATGGACTTAATGGACATCTACAGAATATTCCACTGAAACAACAAAGAATATGCATTATATTGAGCAGAAAATGGAAACTTCTTCAAATTGGACATTATGGAACAAAATAAAGGTTAACAAATTCAGAAAAGTTGAAATAACTTCATGTATCCTGTATGGCCACAGTGCAATAACACTTAAATTTGACAGCAAACAAATCTCTAGAACCTTGTGAGCACTAAACAGCTCTCTATTGAATGGTGAATGGGCTAAAAAGGAAATTAAGAAATAAATTTGTGGGATTAAATGAAAATAAGAACACAACAAAATCTCTGGGACACACTAAAAGCATTTCTGCAAGGGAAATTTATAGCTCAAAGTGCCTACATTAAGAATCCAGAAAATGAACAAATAAATGACTCAATGATGCAACTTAAGAAATCTGAAAGGAAAAAATAAATCAAACCCAAATCCCATAGACAGCAAGACCAATAATGAAATCAGAGCAGAGCCATGTGTGGTGGCACACATCTTTAATCCCAGCACTTGAAAGGCAGAGGCAGGCAGATCTCTTGAGTTTGAGGAAGGCCCGGTCCACATAGAGGAATCTAGGCCAGCCAGGGTTACATACAGCTTATTTTAAAATGAAAAATTAATGAAATGGAAAACAATACAAAGAATTACCAATTCTAAGATCTGGTTCTTTAAGAAGGTAAATAAAATCAACAGAACTTTGTCCCAAATATCCGAGAGAGAGAGAGAGAGAGAGAGAGAGAGAACCCAAATTAACAATCAGAAATTAATAGGAAAACATTACAACAGATACAAAGAAATTCATTGTATTATAAGCAAATACTATAAAAAACTTGTACTCAGTTGTACCTCTAAAAGAAATGGACAAATTTCTAGGTCCATCTAAACCACCAAAGTTAAACCAAGAAGTGATCAACAACCTGAGCAGACCCAGAGAACAAGGAGACTGAAACAGCAATGAAAGACCTGCTGACTAAAAGAATCCCAGGCCTAGATGGCCTCATAGTAGAACTCTCTGGGAAGATCTATAGCTAATACTTAACTACCTTATTCAAAAATCAGAAATAGGAGAAGCACTCCAAATTCCTTCTGTGAAGCCAGTATTACTCTAATTCCTAAACTAGGAAAAGACACAACAGTAGGAAAACTTAAGACCAATATCCCTGAAGAACACAAATTTAAAAATCTTCAATAAAATATTTGCAAGCAGAATACTGGTATATAACAAAAAGAGCAAGTTGCTTTTATCCCAGATTGTCAACATGTAATAAGTGAACCTACAAAATCACATGTTAATCTCAATAGATGCAGAAAAAAACTTTGATAAAACCCAACATGTCTTCATGATTAAAGTCTTAGAGAATAGTATTAGAGTGGAAATACAACATAATAAAGGCTATAGATGAGAAATCCACAGCCAAAATCATCCTAAGGGGTATGTGTGGGGGGAATGTGAAGCAATCTCATTAAAATCAGAAGTGAGACAAGACTGTCCTCTATCCCCACTTCTTTTCAATATTGTACTTGAAACACTAGCTGCAAGACAAGAGAAGGAAACTAAAGGCATACAAATAGGAAAAGAAAAATCAACTTCTCCTTATTTACAGACATGGTACACGGAAGAGTTCCCAAAAATTCTAAAAACTAGAAAAGTTCTAGAAATAGTCAACAATTTCAGCAAATTGTTGGGTTACAATCAACTTAGAAAAATCAATAACCTTTCTACATACCAACAACAGATATGCAGAGAAAGATATCATGGATACTCTACTATTCACAATAGCCTCAAAGAATTTGATGATGGTAAAGGGCAATGTGGTCTTTTCTGTAAGTACTTCCTGCAGAAATTGGGGCATTGTTGTGGGGTGAGCAGGAAGGCCGGGATAATGGTTGCTGAATGATGGTCAAATGACAGAAGAGAGGAGTACAGAACTTACAAACTATAAATTACTAAACCTTTGATTTTGTTTCCTAATTTCCATATAAACCTTTACAGTTGTTTTGTATTGATAGTAAAAGGCTCAAAATTGGGGAGTTTGAGGCAACCTGACTCCCTCTTCTTGCCCCATTATTTGAGGTAAGAGTTATGTTTTGCATGGATATGTTATTTGGTGGGAACCTGAATCCGTATTCTCAGGCCGCAGTCACTCATATTTGGTGCAAGAATAACCGATTTCTTTTTCTCTTTGAGATGAGGGCTGAGTTTTGAGTCTGGCATAGCTGTAGAAAATTGTTGGGTTCTGGGTAGAAGCGG